CCACATCCTACCATAAATCAAGTTTATATTTATGCTATGGAGTTCTTACAGTGGGCACAGGGGCTTAGTGGTTAGCACGATTGCCTCAAACCTCTGGGGTTAGAGGTCCTGCCTACGCCCTGCATGTGTGGTGTTTGCATGTTCTCCCTGTGCTTCGGGGGATTCCTCCGGGTACTCCAGTTTACTAGCCCAGTCCAAAGACACGCACTGTAGGCTGATTGACATCTCTAAATTGTCTATAGCATGTGAATGAGTGTGATTTGTACCCTCGGATGAGTTGGCACCCTGTTCCAGGGTGTCCCCTGCCTTGTTCCCCGAGTCCCCTGAGATAGGCTCCAGGCTCCCCGTGACCCTGTGTAGGATAAGCAGTACAGAAAATGGATGGATGGATGGATGGATGGATGGAGTTCTTATAGTTATGAGTCTGTTTGACCAATTGAAATGCAAGGGTTCAATCCAACCCTCAGTAACTCAAAAACAAATCAGCCTAAATAACGTCAACTTAAATCTAGTGTTTATTGTTAAACTGTTGATGGAAAGTTCAGGAATGAAAGCTTTTTGGCTCAAATAAATAGCCAGAATATTATTGCACATTTGAATAATGGCCCTGATATTTTGAATAGATGGATTATGTTCATAAAACCAATTCGTGGAATTTATATTATATTACACTTAAGGTTTTTTGAGAATCCTGGGTTAAACGAAGAGCTCTTGAGCGCAGTACACCTCCAGTCCAGTAGGTGGCGGCCGCCTCAGTTAGGAGAAGAAGTGAACATTGTTTCCCAAAAACGCTTCCAGTCAGGCGCAGGAGAAAGTAACGTTTTCCTAACAATACATAGTAAAACACCTCATCATGCCAGCGGGTAAACATTTCAGGAGAAGGAGGGAGGAATCTTCTGATGAAGAGGAATCTGACGACGTAACTGCAGAAGTCAGGTTGATAATCTGCCCACCGCATTAGCTTACTGCTAATCGATTTCGTAACGCTAGCTAGCTAGCTGTCTTTCTGTGTTGCTGAAAACAAAATAACCAATTTGCTGTTTGTAGGCTACTTATAAACTTTTCATAAACATTCTTATTCTGATATTGGCCCAGTATGAAAACAGTGTGTTGTTGGAAGTAATGTTGAGTTTTAAATAACTACGTCCACAGGACTAAACTTGATGAAGCAAAGGAGCTGCAGAGTTTACGGAGACGACAGAAAGGTGTGAGGTGAGTATTAGTTCATGTAGCTTTATGCCACAGCGCGGTTGAGTTCTCGGTTCTGATTGGTCAGAAGGTGGTGATTAATTTTCGATGACAGTAGTTCCGGCTGCAAGGCGAATCACAGCTTTGGATCAATGCGCGCGTTCTAATACGTTATGGTTTCTATAGTAACAGGTTAATCGCAGGGACTAGTGCAGCGGAAGATTTACGTGGTCTAAATGTACGTCCCATAAGCGCATACTTGTGCACTATTGTATGCCATTTTGTAGTATAAATAGTGTGAGTAGTGTGTTTCCAATGAAAATTCCAACAAGAAGAAGTATTCAGCTGAAAGATTCACTTCGTGTAGAATGCTGAACACTTCATCCACTCAACGGTCGCGGCTTTGTTTAGCGGAAGGGGGCGGGGCTACTGGGCGCAGACGCTGGCTCAGATTTACTCAGAATCAGAAAAGGTAACATTGACATAAACGCTAAAGAACTAAGAGGAGAAATTAGTAGTATGTTTTCGTTGACGCTGGGTATTCTGCTCAAGCTAGTGGCGTCGCATTACGTGCGTTTGACGTCATTTGCCATCCACTGGGTAACGGCGTATACTTCCGGTTAGTAAAAAAACGTTAGTGTTCCATTAGAGACGATATTAACCTTCTAAAATTCATACATTAGACGGTAGAGTGCATAGTGTATAGTAGGTCATTTGGGACACAACTTGTGACTAATAAACGGATTAAAAAATGTATAATCGTTGCTATGGTTAAGTGTTCTGGAAGGAGTCTCCAGTGTCAGCACCACTCAAATTCTGAACCTGATACAAATTTAGACTTGTATTCTTCTTGCCTCTAAGGACTTTTCAGGTGTCTCTTGAAGGCAACCTAAACCCTAAAACACACTATGTTTATGTTGTAATATTTGTGATATGCTTAGCGGTTCTGGTGTGTTGCTTGGTGCTGTATTCTCATTACCTCCGTGTGCTTTAAGAGTTTTGAGATCTCGCCTGGAAGCTCTTTGCTTTTTGTCAATATTGTTGAATTTTTTTATTTTTATTTTTTTAATTAAAATTGTCTAATTAGGTTGTACATCTCATTTCAAAGTTCCACCAAATCTCTGGAGCTGTGAGGATGAATGAGTTAAACAGTGCATAATGTTTCATTTTACCGTAGTGAACCTTAAGCTGGGTGAGGTACTGTAATCAGTCGTAGGATCAGTAGTTCAGAATTCACCATTACCTTGTCATGAGAGTAAAAACCAAACACTGAGAACGAACAGACGGTCGTTCAGTCCCATCTCTCCTCGGGTTGTGATGTCATACGATTAACAGCAGCCTTCCGTCTTTCTTTAGGTAACATCGGGCCCTGATTCGTGATAACTTTCAGAACCTCGAATAATCTTAACGTGTTTTGTTCATCTGGTCAACTGGAGTATCTGTGTGGTGGGTCTTCGTGCAGAGATGTGGCAAAATTCACCCGTTTTGTGATGTCACATGAAAAACAAAGCATAGGGGGAAAAAATTCATCGATCTCAAACATAAATCATAACAGTCCGGCTGTGCTGTTAGCTCTTAAAACAAGGGAGCGAGCGCTTCTTCTCTCTCACTATTTTCAAGCTACGTTAAACGTCGTATTAATGAGGAATCCGAAGCAGAAGTAGGGGAGACAGCACTGTTTTCTGTTTCAGGACTTTTTCCTACGGGTCTTAATTTGACTGCTAATGTCAACAGGGATAAAAACCTTCGTCAGTAAGCATAAATGCCGTCTTAGACAAAATTGTTCTAATTCCCGATCGCGTTGTAACAGACGATCGATAGGAAAAATATGATTAAATGTACATGAACAAAAAAGAGGTATATTTGTCATTTGTTTTGGTTATTGTGCAGTGACAGAAGTACAAGGCTTAAATTTTTAATTTTTTCTTCCCTTTTTTGATTTTTCTCCCCAGTTTAGTGTCGTTACTTGTGGGAGAGAAGTTACCACTGGAAGCAGAGATAGAGGTATGCTTACTTCATGACTGAAGGTGTTACAGGTCTATATCATCATCATGGTGTGTTGTAAATTCAAGTGTAGCGGTATGGGTTTAACTAACATGCTGACAGTGATGTGACAGAGTTGTGTGTGTGTGTTTTTCCCCTATATTTCAGGATGATCCATTTAAGCTCAAGACAGGAGGCATCGTGGACATGAAGAAAGTGAAAGACAGAGTCACAGATAAGTAAGTGTCCCAGTGGAGGCCAGTGTTTGGTCCCCAGCGTCTATTACAGTGGGCGTGTGTGAGCATATTTGTAACCAAGGCTGCATTTTTTAAACATTTTTTTCCCTCATTCCAGTACAGAGGATGATCTGAACCTGGGAACTGCTTTCTCTGCTGAGACAAACAGAAGAGATGAAGATGCAGACATGTATGTATACAGAGTTATAGAGAGATATTTATATCAGAGATGGGCTAAATGGACAGCAGAGACGCATTAATTTAAAAAAATATATGTAATAAGGAAAAAAATGAGACAGTGGTGAAAAATATAGATGATGCTTTTTGTATCATCTCATCATTTATCTGTTTTTCTTCCTTTCAGGATGAAGTACATTGAAACAGAGCTGAAGAAGAAGAAGGGGTTATTGGAGGCAGAGGAGCAGAAGGTGAAGATGAAGAATGCTGAGGATCTTCTGTACGAGCTGCCTGAGAACATCCGTGTCAATTCTGCCAAAAAGACAGAAGAGATGTTGTCCAATCAGATGCTTAGCGGCATCCCAGAAGTGGACCTGGGAATCGAGTAGGTGCAAGTGCAGCTTTTCCTGCCATGTTGAATTGCTGTCTGATAAATAATTAGGAACATTCGCAGCTGCTGAATGGGAAGATCATGTATCGAGGACTATAAAACGAAGGAATCTTGACACGCTCGGGGTTTAGCAAAGGAAGCTGGCTTCACTTAAACAAATTTCCACAAGCTGGGTTAACTGAGGTCACAACAAGGGGGATAAGAAATCACCAATTTCATGTAAAACTGGATGGATCTCACAGGAGCTGAAATAGTCCCTGGGAAACGATGTGTGTTCAGTACGAAATGTTTTATTCTGCTTATACCACAGCAGTTTGCCAAAGATTACATGTTTAAATTGATTAAATGAATGACAGTTCATTCAGCGTTGTGAAATGTCTGCAAAACAAGTTAGTTCCTGCTAACATTTACGTTATTGCAGCTATAAATTTAATAAGACCAAAAAGCAGCTTGTCGAGTGACTGATAAAACACGCCGTGCAACATAAAGTCGTCTGCCCCGAAACGGCCTTCCCTCTGACTGTTACCAAGCTCTGTCACTGGAGACTCCTCCCGTCAATGATAAATCAGCGTCTCCTCATAGGAAACTAAAGCATATGGATGATAAAGTTTCTCATTGTTACATTTTTAGAAAAAAAATCTGTTTACCGTTCGATGTGGAGCATCCGCTGTAGACCCCGTGTTTTTGCTATAATATAATAGAAACCTGTGATTTGCCTTGCAGCCAACACTGTCAGAACTGATGATGTAAGAAAATGAATCATCATTTTCTGACCAAGCAGAATTGAGAATTCAACAGTGCTGTTGTATAGATATGTTTCCTTTGATGAACTGTCAGTAATAATGGACAGCTATGAGGAATTCAAAGGTATAATAACAGCCAAAAGTTGTCGTTCCTCTTTCGGCTGCCCCTGTTAGGGGTCGCCACAGTGGATCATTGGTCTGCATATTTGATTTGGCACAGTTTTTATGCCGGATGCCCTTCCTGATGCAACCCTTCCCAGGTTTAGTGCTTGGGACTGGCACTGGGAGTGTCGGGAATCGAACCTGGGCCACGGTGGTGAGAGCGCCATGGCCTAACCTCTAGTCCTCCAGGGACCATAATAACAGCCAAAAGCAATACATATGAAATTCTTAACTTCATATGTACTATGTGTATATAATGTCCATTATCACTGCACTAGAACACTATTATCTTATTCTGGATTATGGTAGGTGATAGTAACCATAATCCAGAATAATATAATAGTGTTCTAGTGCAGTGATGATGCTGAACAATCCTATAAAGCCATTTAAATATCAAAAAACGACAACAAATCAAGACTGAACCACCAATAATGCTCAACATGCATTTTAGTCAGCTACTTGCAACTTCACAAAATGCAAAAAAATAAACAAATGCATCCAGGATCTGTGCATATTGTATTTCTATTGTACAACATACATTCTGTATCTACTGAAATGTGCAGGCAGATGTCAGCTGTGAAGAAAGAAACAAATAACAACACAGTTTGCGGGACAATATGTGCACAGCTCTTGTGAGTGACAGTTGGCATCATGGAGTTCAAGGAGCGTACACAGATACAGAATGCTGTCCTTAGAAAATGTGAACTTCAGAGACTTTTCGCTATGTAGGGTCATTTGTGTAATGCGCATAAGTCTGGGAGAAACACTGGCTTGCTCAACCTAAAATCTAGCATCATGATACACTCATATGAAGAGATTAAGAAAAGGGTTGGGAAGAAATGTACGAGTAGTCACTGCTCTTTCCTGTGCTCTGCTTCCTGTGGTCTGTTCATTGCTGTTTCCTGCAGTAATTTGTAGGGTTGTGTGCGTTCTGAACTGTTTTGTTTGTTATCCTGTGCAGTGCAAAGATAAAGAACATAATCAGTACAGAGGACGCCAAAGCGAAGTTGATTGCCGAGCAGAGGAATAAGAAGAAAGACAGCGGTACCTCATTTGTTCCCACAAACATTGCCGTGAACTATGTCCAGCATAATCGCTGTGAGTATTGTCCATCAATTTGGACCACTAGCTCTTACATACACTCACCTTACTTTTGTGTATCTGTATAAATGTCCATTTTAGCATTAACAACACGAACACTATGAGCTTATTCAGTTAAAAAGATGAGTGTTTTGCTGTATTTCATCTCACTTTTCAGTCTACCATGAAGATGTGAACGCACCTCACAGACGCCACCGAGAAGAGCCTAAAGCACGACCACTGCGTGTTGGAGACACTGAGAAACCAGCACCGGAAAGTAAGTGCGAACCCTCACACTCGCCTCTGAAAGACTTTCAGAGTCAAATCAAGTCAGTGTTTGTATTCTTAGGCACATACTGTATGTATCATTGTTGAGCAGGCGTAGATGATAATCGACCTGGGCACCCAGGTTTATTCATACCTGAGAAAACAATATGCTTTAGAGAGAGAGAGAGAGACAGTAACACAAAACTAACAGCGAGTTAGTGCTTCTTTATCAGTCATATGTCCAGGCATTGTATGGAACACTGCGATTTAACACAGAAATGCATAAAAACAAATAAACGCCTTGATAAATTAAAAAGGGTAAATAGTAACTGCAATAATTAAAATGTAATCCTAACTTTAGCTGAAATGTGAACAATGCAAATAAAAAAGGAAATAAAGAGAAACCTATTTAAGGGGTATTATCAGTTCCAGGAGTCCAAGTTCCAGTTTAATTGGATATCAGTCTTGTTTTGGTAAAGTTGCTAGGACTAAGCAGACATGGGTTTTAGTAAATATAGATAGATTATGTAGAGTGAACCACAGGAAACACACATGGTTCTTTGCTATTTGTAGCAAATGAATCCAAAAACAATTCATCACCAATGACTATAGATTCTGTTGGCATAATGCAAAGTATACATTTTGGTCTATTTTGCCAGTTTTCATTCATTTGCTACTTAACAGTATATTACATTTAATGGTTCCTGGTTTTGCTGTGATGGTCATTTTTTCCCCCTTGCTCTCAGAATCACCACCCAACTACCGCAAGAGACCAAACAACGAGAAGGCCACAGATGACTATCATTATGAGAAATTCAAGAAGATGAACCGAAGATACTGAGCCCTCATTACCTTTGCAAAAAATCAACTCTGACGCTGAAATTGTGCTTCTGTTAGATGCCATTTTACCACCTAGAGAAATGATTTATGAACCTTCAAGCGCTGGTGGAACAGTTAGCAGATCTCTTATTTGTACAGATAAATACGGATAAATATAATGTGTAATCAGCAAATTACAAGGGATACTTGCTGAATTATTTTATGTTGATTAATGTGAATTACTTTATGTTAATGTTGCATTGTGTACGACGTCATTAAAAGCAGTCAACCAATTATTTGAAGCATGAAAATAAATATTTGTCAAAAGTTCAAAGGAAGATTTTGGTTGTAGTGGGATAACACGAGTGCCAGTAGATGTACTGTCTATGCTAAATTGCCCCAAGGTGTGTGCGTGATGCCCTTAGAAGACCTGGCGTCCCATCCAGGGAGTATTCCCGGCTCACGTCCAGTGTTTGTGGGATTCCCTCGGGATCCACTATGACCCTGATCAGGATAAAGGATAATGAATGAATGTGATGAATGAATGAATGTGAACATGTCTCTCTTCATGAGTTCCAGGATTTCTTAGCATTTTTAAATGCTATTTCTATTAGTTTCGGATGTTATGTAAATATTTAGTTGAACAATTTGTGCCTGTTTCTATTCAATAACTTTGCATTGCAAACACAATTATTGAGAGAATTGTGAATACGTAATATATCTACATCATGTTTCCAAGTAAATAAGACTTCAGAAACTTATTGTGTCAAACCATTTTATTCGTAGTGGATGCAACTAAGGAAATGTGCCTTCAAACGGTAACACAATGAAAATTACACAAATGACTGAGATTCTATGTGCTAAAGTATCATGTAAAAGAACTAGAAAAAAACAGTGTAAACAGATATCTAACAGGGCCTTCCTGACCCAAGAGTGATAAGTCATGTACGGTAAACACACACACACTATAATACTGCGAGGTATGAGAGGAATGTACAGTAGTCAGACATAGAAAAAGAGTATCCAGTATTTGTTCAGCTGCAGAGATGTAGATGAGTGTATGTCATTTAAGTTTTTTTTAAGTCAGTTTTTTTATTTGGCTCAGGAATTAATGTAGAGAGCAAAGATTAAGTAAGTAGCTTATGCGATCTAACCGATCTGTTTTCAAGACTGTTCATTTGAGCTGCTTCCATGGCCATTGAGGTGATGTGACATTGTTTCTGTTGCGACAGGTCTTTCCGAATCATCTGTAATGGGGTTTGAAGGGTCAAGGGCCATATTGGGTGACCCCCAACTGTCTCGCTGACGAAACGCCTCGCAAAGTGGCAACTCGACGCCGTCCCATTGTCCACAGCTAGAAATGTCACATATAAACACATTACATACATGCACACCAAACTTTCCTCTTCAGAAATGTCCATGCCCTACATGAACACACAGATTACCTTAAAGCACAGGTTCCCAACCCTGGTCCTGGAGTTCCCCATGTCCTGCACATTTTAGTGTTTCCCTGCTCTAACACAGCTGATTCAGCTAATCAGTTGTTTAACAGCACTTCCTGAGTTGAAGTGGTTGTGTTAGAGTGAGGAAAACACTACGTGCAGGGGGTATTCCTTGACCAGGGTTGGGAACCTCTTCGGTAAAGGAAAACTCTGTGTTTGTCTACCAGCTCGCCTCTGTAGCATATGTGTAAGCACCACAAACAAGAACTGATATTTCCCTGTATTAATGAAAGAACAGAAAAACAGTATACTGGAAGCCCCCTTATAATGCAAGGGCTGATGAGAATTCCATCAAAAATGTTTAAAAACTCATCTGGGGGATGGTTTGCTCTCTCTGCCCTGTCAAGCAAGGTGATACTGGCCAATTGTGAGCATCTGTGTAACCAAATTGGAGATTTGTAGTAGTTTTGTCTGAATTTCTTACACTGGTGCGATACAATTAAAAATGCACTACAATTGTTATTAGGCCTTTCCTATGTTTTTATTTATCAGGGTCTAACATGTCACCAAAGAAGTGTAACTTCTGGAGCATGGAGGTGTGTGCCTACATCATGCCCAGAAGAAAGGACAACAGCCATGACCTCAAAGAAGCAATTGTTGCTGCTCATCAATCTGGGAAGGGTTATAAGGCCATCTCCAAACAATTTAAAATTCACCATTCTACAGTGAGAAGGACTCTTTCCAAATGGAGAGCCTTCAAGACAGTTGCCAGTCTTCCCAGGACTGGGTATCCCAGCAAATTCAGTCCAAGCTCAGCTTGTTTAATGTTCAGAGATATAAAGACACCCCAAGAGCTATATCATGTGACCTATAGGCCTCTGTAAGCACAATAAATGTTTATGTTCATGACAGCACAATCAGAAAAAGACTGAACAAGTATGGCTTTCATGGAAGGGTGACTAGGAAAAAGCCCCTTCTCTCTCAAAAAAAAAAAATGGTAGCATGACTTAGGTTTGCAAATATCCTTTGGACTGATGAGACCAAGGTGGAGATGTTAGGTCATCATGCACAGCGCCATGTTTGGTGAAAACCAAACACTGCATCACCACAAACACAACATACCAATGGTCAAGCATGCTGGTGGAGGGGTGCTGATTTGGGTTTGTTTTGCAGCCACAGGACCCTGGCAAACTTGCAGTCCTTAAGACACTGATGAACTCCACTTTATACCAGAATATTCTTGAGACAAATGTGAGGCCATCTTTCAAATGTGAGGCCAGTAGCTTAAGCTGGGCCAAAATTGGGTCATGCAACAGGACAATGATCCCAAGCACACCAGCAAATTGATATCTGAATGGATAAAGAAGAAAAAAATCAAGGTGTTGTCATGGCCAAGTAAAGTTCAGACCTCAACCCCACTGAGATGCTGTGGCAGGACCTTAAGAGAGCTCTGCATAAACAAATGCCCTCAAACATCAATGAACTGAAGCATTGTTGTAAAAAACAGTGGGCCAAAATTTCAAGGGTATACTTATCCCCCCCACCATGGTTTCTGAATGCTAGTTTATACTTTTTTGGAA